GGCAGAGACAGATACCCACAGCTAAACACTGAACTGAACTCCTGGAACCCAATGACAGAGATGGAGGAGTGATGAGCAAAGGGGTCAAGACCATGATGGTGAAACCCACAAAGACAGCTGACTGGATATGGGGGAGCTCTTGAATCCCAGACTGATGGCTGAGAGGCCAACAGGGGACTGATCCAGACTCCATGAATGTAGTGCCAGTGAGGAGGCCTCAGAAATCACTGGGGCCTTGGGTAGTAGATCAGTGTTTACCATGGCGTAGGAATGAACTCTGGGAGCCCATTCCACGTGGAGGGATGCTCTCTCAGCCTGGACACATGGGGAAGGACCTAGGCCCTTCCCTGAATGAAATGACAGACTCTGGAGATCCCCCCAAGGAGGGCCTCACCCTCCCTGGGGAATGATGTGAGGATTGGGTGGGGGACTGGGAGGGGCTGGGGGAGGGACAAGGGAGGAGGGGTGAGAGAGGGAGCTGGGATTGACATGTGAAGCATGCATGTTTCTAATTTAAATAAAAACATATATTAAGGGAAAAAAGTCAAACTGTTGAAGTTGCTGAGGTCAGTGGGGGTGGTGACAGTGAAAAAAAAAAAACAAACAGAAACACAGGAGTAGAAGCCCAGGTCCTGAGTGCCCCGAGAGTCCTCTGACTGAGTCCGTTGTCCACAACGTGGCCGATAGTCTTCCTGGCCCACCTGCTTCTGCCTTCATTGGTGGTGTCCATTTTACTCAATGTGCTAAGTGGTCATGTTTTACTCTCGAAGCCTTTTCCTCTTCTGGTCACAATTGCCTGAATTAATATGATCATGAACCTCAGGTTAGGTCGCAGAGCTACTAGTGAATGACAGGTCCCAGGCAGTCTACCTGAACCTCTATCTTCATCTGTCATGACATCGCTCTGTACTTTAAAAGCAGAAAAATTATCTTGAGAATTCCATAATATGTACAACTTATTTGGTCATATCTGTCCCCTACCCCCTAATTCCTGGGTCTTGCCGTATCTCCCAACTTCATGTCTTTTTCCTCTCTCTCTCTCTCTCTCTCTCTCTCTCTCTCTCTCTCTCTCTCTCTCTCTCTCCCTCCCTCCTTTCTCTCTCTCCCCTCCCTCCTTTCTTCCTTCCTTCCTTCCTTCCTTCCTTTCTTTCTTTCTTTCTTTCTTTCTTTCTTTCTTTCTTTCTTTCTTTCTTTCTTTGAGACAGGGTTTCACTGTGTAGCCTTGGATGTCATGGAACTCACTCTGTAGACCAGGCTGGCCTCTAACTCAGAGATCTGCCTGCCTCTGCCTCCTAAGTGCTGGAATTAAAGGTGTGTGCCATCATTCCCAACTTTGTTTCGTTTTTTAATAACTCACTGAGTCCCAAATTAATGATACCCATATGTTCACTGGTGTGAAGTCAACAAATAGAACACGGCTGACTCGTCAGGAACCACAGTCCAGAAGAAAACTGACTTGCTCTCTCCTGGTCTACTCTACCACTCTACTGAGGTACTCAGAAAGGGTTCGAAGCCTTTGGTCTGTCCTGACTCCTGTTCAGATATGCAGACTGGCAGCTCATTCATTTGGACGGGAGTGAAGAGAACCCACGTGGAGAACAGTTCTTGGTGGCTGCATGTTCCCTTGGACCAGGCAATTCTCCGCTTTGGGAAGCTTCCCTGTGCACCTCTCTCAGCATCCCATTAGTGCCAGCAGCATCCCTACCTAATTACGACACTCACCATATGTCATTTAAAAAATACTAAAACACGCAGGGGCGGGGTGGCTTCCACCATTTGCTGTTGTGAGCCACCGTTGCAGAAAACCCAGGGAAGCATGATCAGTCTCCTCCACATGATTGGCAACACCTGGAAGGGATGCTGATGCGGCAATCAGTCCGGCTTTAGCAAGGGTTCCTTATTGCCTTAGCCGCCTGGTGCTGCCGTGCCAGCCTCGTGACATTCACAGTCACAGCTAACACCCGTAAGAGCTCACTAAGGATGCCCTCTGCAAGCAGTGATGCAGTTATGCTACCCACCCTGTGCTTATGAATGAGAACACAGAGGCACGAGGAAACCCAGCCGGCAGCAGCAGTCACCGGGCAGGACAATCCCATGGGGTTGAGACCTCTCAGTTTATCGTCCTTCCTGTCGTGCCTGTACTTCTCTGTGGCTCATGAAACTGTCATTACTGAGAGTACCACCGCCTCATCGATGCATTTTGGCTTTGTCAGTGCTGACACTGGCATTTTCCAGGGTGTTCCCAGGGTGCCTGTTCCCAGGTCTCTGTGTTGCATACTCCCCTGTTTCTAGGGAGACTCCCTCTCAGAGATAATGACCCCTAGACTTCTGTACCGTAGAACCCCCCACATGCCCTGACCACGTGCCCTGCACCAACACAGACCGGGTGCTAAAATGCCCTCAGCACCCACACCCAGAATATTTCTTGGCATATGCTGGTGCCTGTTACGTGTATAGAAGGAGTAAAGATGCACTCAGCAGAGATGACACATCTAGACTGGGGCTATTGGTAACTACCTTTCTGCAATACTGTGGAGGGTCAGAGACATTTGTGAGAAGAATGATTCAATCCTGGGACTCTGCCAGCAGGAGGGCCAGGGAACTGGGCTGTCCTGACTAATGCCTGTCAGATTTATTACTAAGTGGCACATGTCACTCACATATACTCATTTAACAAATTTTACTTTCTTTAGCCTATAAAAGTAATTCAGTAGAATTATGATAATATACATGCAGACATTATGTTTAGGATTAGACATAAAAAATCATATAGTAAACTATAAGCTAAAACTTGAAAAATATTATAGGTTAACACCACCAGATCAGATTCTGAACAACAATTACCCTAAGCTGATTTTACTTTTATATAGTCACTATTCACAAGCTGAAAATAAAAGTTTTAATTAAACTTTGTTAAAATGTTAGCAATTGCTGTCATTACATAGAAAGTGAAACCACACAGGAATCATAGATAGAAATGCTATTCAATTGTAGTAGAAGTCCACTATTGCTCTCCACATGATTTTTAAATTTATTTATTTATTAGGCATATGAATGTTTTGCCTATATGTATGTTTGTGTACCACATGCATGCCTTGGAAGCTAGAAGAGGGTGTTGGCTCCTGTGGGACTGGAGTTTAAGACAGTTGTAGGCCATCACGTGGGTGCTAGGAATTGAACCCATATCCCCCAGGAGAACAGCCAGTTCTAATTGCTGAGCCATCTCTCCAGCCCCAGTACATTATTTTTTGAGATGAGGTTTCCAATTGAACCTGGAGCTCACACATTTGGTCAGATTAGCTGGCCAATAAGCTTCAGAAATGCACTGTCCCCTCCTGCACAGCAGAGCCGAGAGTGTAGATGCCCACCACCCCGCTCAGTGTTTTAACCTGGGTTCTGGACTTCCGGACTCAAGTCCTCCTGCATGTGCGGCAAGAAAGCCATCAACTAAGCCATCTCTCCAGCCCCAGGTCCTCAGTTCCTGAGGAGTTCTGGAAGGCATAATTTAACATCAACCAAAGCTGCTAGCAAAGGCAGTTAGCTGCTCAAGTATCTCAGATGATGGGGCACACGCTTGCTGCTCAGAAGAATGGTGGGGGAATTCTGACTTTATGAAGTGAGAAGCAAGGACGAGTCAAAAAGGAAAATCCAAAATGGCAGATTCTGTCAGGTTTAGACTAAATGAGTCATTAAAAAAAGTCAGGGCTCAGAGGTTCATAAAATTCCAGACCCCTCTATAGATTCTCTCTCTCTCTCTCTCTCTCTCTCTCTCTCTCTCTCTCTCTCTCTCTCTCTCTCCCCTCTCTCTCTCTGTGTGTACAATGCTTATGCAGGTGCCCATGATTGTCAGAAAAGAGAGTTGGATCCTCAAGTAGGAGTTATAGGCGATATGGGCCATACGATATAGGTGCTGGGAACTGAACCCAGGCCTCTCCAAGAGCAGAGCAGTATATACTCTTCACTCTGAGCCATCTGTCCATCACTTTCTGCAGATTATTCTCCTTGTTCTCTTTACCCCAGTGGTAAAGACTTGTGTTTAGCATGTCTTGGAGCCAGGAGGTTCCTGCCTAATGTAGGGGCACCTCGTGCCAGAAGAAGCTAGTAGGCCCTGGAGAGCCAGCAGGGCTGTGTGATGAGCATCCAGAATCCCACACTGAGAGGCTCTGATGCCACTAGACTTGAGGAAGCTCCTGGCAGTGTACATTTGTACAAAGTGGTCCCGAAGCACAGCTGGATCTAAGGGTGTCTGCAAAGACTGGGAGAAACAACTTTCCTTATCAGGGGACAAGACTATTGGAAACAGGAGGAGATACATACTAAAACCGAGGTCTTCTGGCCAAGGAATTAGAAAAGAGAATTACGTGCAGAGATCCCAGAAGGATCACACATGGTTACAATGCACGTATTGCACAAGAAAGGGCTGAGTTGCTGGTTGACAGCTGTTGTATTTGAATATACAGAGTCCCACATAGGCTCACGTAGTTCACTGCTTGGTCCCCAGCTGGTGCTGTTTGGGGAAGTTACAGAACTTCTCGGTGGAGCCTTACTGGAGGAAATGTGTCACTGGGGGTGGATTTTCAGGTTTTATAGCCTGGCCCAACTTCCTGTTCTTTCTCTCTGCTTCCAGTATGTGGATGAAATATGATCTGCCAGCTTCATATGCCTGCTACCATGCCTTACCCACTGATGAACTGTACCCCACTGGGAGGATTATGAACCAAATAAACCCGCTCTCTCCAAAGTTGCCTTCCGCAATTGTGTTCTATTGCAGCAACAGACAAGCAGCTAATGTAGCTGCCTTCCACCTTTTTGTTTGTTTTTTTTTCGAGACAGGGTTTATCTGTGTATCAGGCCTGTCTGTCCTGGAACTCACACAGTAGACCAGGCTGGCATCAAACTCACTGAGATCCTCCTGACTCTGTCTCTCAAGCGCTGGGATTAAAGGTGTGCGCCAGCACTGCCCAGCTTTCCCACAAATTCTCAAGACAACAGAGGCTCAATTCATCCAAAAGTGGTAGTGATTTTTATGTGTTAGATAATTGCAAAAGACAGTAAAAAAAGCAACAACTCTACAAGCTGATTATGTCCACTGTTAGAACCCCATGAGAATGAAGACTGGCTACTGGTAGTAAGAAAAACATACAAGGGGAATTCAAAACAGAAGCTTGGGTTACAGTTTTCACATTACCGGAGGACAGTTTCAGATGTCAGGTAAACACTGAGGAGAGATGCCATCCAGACCAATCGCACCATGAACTCAAGTGCTGGTCCCGTTGGGCGCAGGGTTTGCTTCCTGTTTCTAGTACCCGACAGTGCAATGGGCAGACTCACAGGTTAGCAGCCACCCCCGCGGCGGATTCCTTGAATCTGCTGGCATCTCTGAGAGTCCAGAGTCCAGGTCTGTGTGGAAGCTGCTGGGAGCTCTTTGGTGAATGCCCATTTCCCTGGTTTCTATTCTCCCTTTCTCATGGGGAAGATGTGCACAGGGAGGTTTATGGACTTGCTCCGTGGATGCTGCTGCTTGGTGTCTAGTTGGCCTCTAGGTCACAGTCTCTGAGGTATGCACAGGTAGGAAGGCCAAGGAGAGAAGAAAGGCAGAAAGTCTTGCTTGGTGGCCTGAAGGGACTGCTCAAGGTTCCTGAGTCTTTTCAAGATAGAAAGAGATTGCTTCTTGGCTTTAGGCTCAGATGTAGTGTAGACCTGAGTATAGACACAAAGACTGCAGCTTGTGTCCGGGGAGGCACAATTGATGCTTAGCTTGCTCATCTGGTGATAATGGCTAAGGCTTGGGATTATTTAATAGTGGCTGAGGCTGGAATCAATTGGTACAGACAGATCTCCTGAGCCTTCTCGCTAGACTTGCCCTAAGTTAGGGGAGGAAGACAGAAGATCCAGCGATCTGTTGCCTTGTTCTTGTTGGGATCTCACCTTGCGGTATCCCAGCAAATCCATAGCCTCGCTACAGGCATCTTGAAGTTGAGAAACCTTTTCATAAGGCAAGGACCAACGCCATGCCTGGGAGACGTTGATGGCATCCCTGGAGTTAGTGTCGAAGGTATGCTGACCCAAACCCTTGCCTCGGGTGACGTTGTAAACCCAGGTGTGGAGATGGGGTAAGAATTTCAAGCCCACAAATTTGTATAGCCTGGAGGTCTGGTCCAGGGGTTCCCTAACCAAGTCCTCATACCTCAGGAGCAGAAAGCGCTGCTGCAGCGGTTCAGGCAGGCGTTGCATGGCCTTGATTATGTCCACGTGGCTTTTGCAGATGATCTGCATGGTATAATAGGGCTGGTCTTCCTCCTTGATCATTTTCAAATGCTCCCCCAGCACAATATGACTATCAATCCTGAGGTCTCCTCTGGTGCGTTCCCGAGATCGGAACACAGCCCGGGGGTCTCGGACCAGGTGTACGATGTGCAGGTTGAGGGAAGGGTCTGTGAGCAGTGGGTAAAGGGCCTGCAGGTTGAAGAAGCGCACCTCCTTGAGTACCACATGGCTGTGAGAGCGGCAAGCCTTCTCCACCATATCAAAGGGCTGCTGCGCACAGAGCATCTTGCAATCCTTAGCCGAGCTGATCTGGTCACTAGAGAAGAAGTCACAGACAGGTGACGAGCACAGGGCCCGGCTTTGCTCCCACTGGAAGAGGCTGGACTGTTTTCGGGGGCCTGGTTTCATATAGGCATCAAAGACACTCATGTCACACAGGAAGGTGGAACGCAGAAGGTCCCGCGCAGCCATGTGCAGCTTCCAGGCGGTGCTGCTGGTGAAGCTCATCCACACGTGCCAGGCAGGCTCCATTAGGTAGAAGACATCTGGGTGCTGCCCAAAAACCTGCCCCACAAAAGAGGATCCCGACCGCCAGGAAGACAGGACCAGCACGTGCATGGGCCTCCTAGGCTCTTCGTTCTGGAACAAGTCCCCGTGACTGGATATATGGAAGAGGAGTGCCATAACTATCATCTGGGAGCCCAGGAACAGCAGCAGCTTCCCTTTCTTAGACAGCATCATTCTGCGATGTGGAAGACCTTTAAAGGGCAAGCAGAGGGATGGGGCTGAGTTAGGTTAGGGTAGCATCTACCTTCTGGGTTCTCCTGGACCCCCTCCAAGGAGCAATGTAAAACTTCAGAAACTTCCTGCAAGCCCTTGTCCAAATCCCTCTGCAGAGTAATTCTATTTTCTTGCTTTTATGGGATCGTTGTGTTCTGTATTTTACAGTCTTTAAAACTTTCCCTTCTGGCTTTTCTTGTTCATTGAACTACCAAGAACATCCCTACTCAGCTGTATTCAGTCATTCTAAGAGACACTGCCACACCTCATACCTTTTACACCCCTGACAGAGAGTGGCCTACAGGCAAAGCTGTCTGACTATGTCACACTCGAATGCCTTTGGTTTTCCTCAAACCATGGGAAGTGAGACATGTAGGGGCGGTTGCCGTCAGGCCACTCCTCACAATCCCTTTGTGTGAAGGAGCGTCTCATAAGACCATTCCTCATCTCTCCCCAATTTTGATGAAGCCTGGGACCTTTCCACTGTAATCTCCTGAAGGCTATGGATGTAGGCTGCCAAACTGCCTGACTTCAGAGTTCTCTCCTTAGTGGAAGAACCACACATCACATTTGTCATGGGGTTCCTTCTGACTTAGCCTCATCCTGTGGGACTAAGAATGTAGGGGAGTGGATCCAAAGCTAACCTTGTGTCTGTGCCAGAGATAAATGACCTGAACCCATCTCAGTAGAACCATTGTCTCTTAAAGGTGATTCTATGGAAGTGTGGTAAGCCAGCCTAGGAGCTGGTTAGAGACACCTGTGGCTGCTTGGTCATGGAACTTCACTTGGGAAATGCCTGACTGCTTTGAAAACATACGTAGGACTATATAGTTGGGCAAGTTGTGCTGCACAATAGCAGAGAATGTTACCTTATCAAGATTTCAGATGTTCATTATGCAAAATGAGAGTAGAAGATGGTGTTGGGAGGGTGTTCCAGGAGCTGGATATTCAGTGTTTAAAGACCATGCTTCAGTTTGTAATTCACAAAAAAGCTCATGAGGACTGGTGGGACCCCTGACTTTACTCTTTTACAGTGAGGGCTTATTTAATATGAAAAGACCTTCATGTGGGGCCCTTGGTAGGTCAACTGTGCTCCAGGTCATGGCCTCATATCCCCAGTCCACAAATTGGACTTGGTGGGTTATTCAAAACAAGACATGGAATTTGGGGCATGGGGGAGGGGTATGGAGGTAAGGGTAAATCTGAGAAAAGTTGGGGGGGATTGTGTACATACATGGAATTCTCAAAGAACTAGTAAAGCATATTAAAAACTGTCCAATAATGGAAAGTTCAATGCATATTTCAGTGCAGAGGAAGGGAGAAACACAGTATACTGAAGTCAGCAAGAAGGTTTAGTGGGTAACAGGACTTGCTGATAAACCCAAGTTTGATCCCCAGGATCAGTATGGTGGAAGGAGAAAACTGGCCCCCACAAGTTGTCTTCTGACCTCCACAGGTACATGTGTGCACACACACACACACGGACACAGACACAGACACACACACACACACACACATGCACATATACATGCACATGCATAGGCATATACACACTTGCACAAACATGTACACATGCACATACATGCACATACATGCACATATACACAATTTCAAAAAAATAACAAAAATGTCCTGATACCAAGTGCCATGCTGGTGTACCCCTCCTAGATAGTTTTTAATTATTTGTTTTTCTTTTATATGTGTGAGTGTTGGCTTATAAACCGCATGCATACAATACCCTTGGTGACCAGAAAAGGGTGTTGGATGCCTGAGGACTACAGTTACGGAGGGTTGCTAGCCACCATGTGAATGCTGGGAACTGATCCCTAGTTCTCTGTAAGAGCAGTCTGAGCTCTTAACCAGTGAGCCATCTCTCTAGTCCCTCTTAGAGGTTTTAGTGCTCTTTTTTATATCATTCTGGATCAAGTGACTTCTTGACATAAATAACCAAGAGATACACTAGCTACTACACAGAGCATAAATATGAGTTGCTAATGCATATATCATCATGTCCTAGAGACTCTCCCTTGTAGCCTTAGTAAAGAAGGGAAGGGGCTTGCCATTCTCTTTATGACAGATTTTATCACCCATTACAGTTTTTCCTTTGGGTGGTGCATGCCTATAACCCCGGTGTACATGGGAGACCAAAGTAGGAGGATTGCACGTTCAAAGCCTGATTGAGCAATTTAGTGAGATCCTCTCTCAAAAATAAAAGACATATATAATAAGGGAGACTGAGTGTATAGGTCAGTGGTAGATTATAGGGAATGGAGGAGTTCCTGAGTGTACGTGTGAGGAGTGGGTGGGTGAAATCCCGAGAGTGAGTATGTATCATTGACAGGAACATGGCCCTTTCAAGGACCCCAACGTCTCAGACACATGAATATGGAAAAGCTTCCTTGGTCCTAGTATGAATGTTAGCAGTGTGTACAGAATGCATTAACCCTCATCTTGGATGCCCCTAGCCAGAGACTGCTCTTCTGAAAAACCCCAATTGAAGCTAGCTAGCCCTTCCCCCTTGTGTAGTACATAATAAACTGAGTTTGGGGGTTGTGTTGTAAGTGCCCTCCATCAGGGTGAGCACAGCCCTAACCCCAGTTTTTCTATGTCGTTTCTTCATTCCCATGTCACCCCAGTCACGTTTCCAGGACTGAGCTGTGTAGGACACAGCCGTGTAGCCCCTGCCTAGCATATGCAAACCCCTGAGTGCTATGAAAATTAAGTGCTGTTAGAACAACTTCTATTTCAGTCTCTAAAGTGGGCTTTATACTGTGCTGGTTAGTTTTCCATTCTCAGCTTCCCAGCACCTAAAACCACCCAAGAAGACAGCTTTAACTGAGGAACTGTCTAGATCAGGTCAGCCTGTGGGCATGTCTATGGGGGAACTGTCTTCACTGTTAAGGCGGAGGATCCACCCTGAATGTGAGCTATGTTCCCTGAGTAGCCACTGTGATTTCTTTGCAATAATGAACTCTAACCTGAACTTGTGGGCAGACAAACAATTTCCATTCCTAAATTGCTTTGCAAAGGATGTTTTGTCACAGTAACAGAAACAAAACTAGAACAGACTGTATAATTGTTCTTAACTCTAGAAGGTTCCTTTCAAAGGTTTTATGTATTTGTTTTGTTGTAATTTTGAAATCGGTTGGCCTGGATCTTACTGTGTAGCCCAAGATAACCTTAAACTCCTGGTGATTCTTCTGCCTCAGCCTCCTAAGTGCTAGAATCACAGGAATGAGCCACTAAGCTCAGCTTTTAAAAATATTAAAATATTTATATTTATTAGCATACTTTAAATATACAAAATAATAAGTCTCACAATGTCATTTCTGAGCACATATATGAGCCAGTATTTATCTTTGTCATTGGTACACTGTAAAACTCTATCTCCAAACCTGCCTGGTTATCTCTGATACACAGCAGTGAGTTCATTTTATTGTGTCATTTCAGTTGCAAATCATACATACAAGGAGATTCAAATGTTTATAAACCCTTAACTATTTCTCTCTTACAAAGAGAAACATAGTAAGGTATCTCTCCCTACCCAGAGTGTTGTGCTTTTTTTTTCTTGTCAGCATGTCTTGGGTGGGGGGAGCAGAACCCAAAGCATTTCCTTGTTTCTTTTTACCACGCAGAATTCTACTGCATGGACACACAGTAGTTTATCTAACTAAGGGCCCCTGGGTTGTTTCCAAGCTCCTGTTATTTCAAAGGTTTCCGTCATGAGCTTCTTGTCTACACACTTGTGAGATTAAATCTCCAGAAGTGAGATGTTGAGTCAAAACGTGTGTGTGTGTGTCTCTGTCTCTCTCTGTCTGTCTCTCTGTCTTTGTCTCTGTGTGTGTCTCTGTCTCTGTCTGTCTCTGTGTGTGTGTCTCTGTCTGTCTCTCTGTCTCTGTCTGTCTGTCTCTCTGTCTCTGTCTGTCTGTCTCTGTCTGTCTCTCTGTGTCTGTCTCTGTCTGTCTCTCTCTGTGTCTCTGTGTGTGTGTCTGTCTCTGTCTGTCTGTCTCTCTGTGTGTGTGTGTGTGTGTGTGTGTGTGTTTGCGTGTGACTTAGCCAGCTATTGCCATGCAGCCTTCATGCTGCCTGTGAACTAGGAGGGAGGTCTGGAGAGTGGGTTAGGGAGGAGAAGGAGGCAGCCACAGAGGCGCTTCTTGGAGTTTGTAACTTGCTTCCTCAAGAGGTAGGACATGCTTTGCCAGCTCTCAGGCTTCCCTTGGAAGTCCCCTTGAACAGTGTGGAAATGTGTCATAACCCTCACCCGAGTTTGTGTGGCAATGGCACTGCCCCCCCTTCCATCTCTCCCATTCATTGCCAGGCACGCTTTCCCTCTGGGTGTACCAAAAGCACCAATCAAGGATCAGTCTTCTTTTCTTTCTTTTGTGTATGTGTATGTGTATGTGTATGTGTATGTGTATGTGTATGTGTATGTGTATGTGTATGTGTATGTGTATGTATATGTATATGTGTATGTGTATGTGTGCCTATTTGTGTGAGGGCTTTTGGTATCATTTCCTTCTTCACATACCTCTCTCCCTCCTTCCCTCCCTCTCTTCCCCCCCCCCAATTGAGTCAGGGCCTCTCACTGGCCTAGACTTAGCCAAATAGGCTGGGCTGGTTGGTCAGTGAGCCCCAGGGATCTCCAGCCTGGATTACAAATGCATGCTGCCATGTCTGGCATTTTAAAAGGGTGAATTCTGGCAATCAAACTCAGGTCTTAGTGTTCTCAAGATAAGCACTTTACCTATGGCTCTGTCTCTCTAGCCCTCATCACTTCTTTGGAGCCAAAATATTCTACCACTTTTCCAGGCTTGGTAGTTAAGAACAGTTGTTGCCCATGAGTTCATGGTGTGGCCTTCTGGGTGCATGTATCCATGTTGTGGGAGAACAGAGACAAGAGGCTGGGCTTGCTGGCCCCAAAGTCAGTGAGAGGCCCTCCTCAAAAGACACTTGACACCCTTGCCTGGTTTCCACATGTGCGAGTATGGCTTGCTCACCTACACTCACATACAGCCCCTCCATTCCCATGATGCTATCACAAGGCGCGGTGCCACTGAATGGTACTTCCCGTCTTGTTGTCTGGGTCCCATGGTTTAGGGAATGACCAGTTTCTAAAACTGAAGTTCAAGGGGGGATCATTGGAAACCATGTCATTGCTGATTATGGTTTAAGTGTATCTGTTTCCCCTCCACTACCGTAAGGCAGAGAGCTTTTCCTAGGGACAATCTGAGTATGGGAAATGGTGTAGAACAACGATAGGAAGCAATGAGGTGTAGGGGAAGGAGAACTCAGCCTGTGGACACCTAGAGACAGACTGGAATTTTACAAGCCGGTCCTGTGACTGCTTCGCCCAAAGCTAACATCCCCTGGAACGAGGAAAGCAGGGGTTTCCTTCCATCCTAGCCCTGAGCCAATACTGTCCTGCCTTTCTTATGTGCCAGCTGCCCCTGGCCTCAAGCCAGGCCCTTTCTGTGTTTCCTTTCCTGTTTTACTTTTGGCAGGGTGGCAGGGTGGCTGCTGGGGAGGGACCAGGCTCCTTGTTCCTGCTCTTCTATCGAGTAGTCACATCTCCACTCCTCTGCTATTTCTTTGTATGAGCCCTGGCCAGGAAGAGCAGGCTGTTGTGAAGCCTGGTCACCAGGCTCTGAGCAGCTCCTGTAGAGGATGCCCAGGCCGCTAGAGAGCACTCTAGCTTACAACTCAGGCAGAGCTCATCTTAACAACCACGAGGAGAGGCAGAGACACCCCTGGCAGAAGCAAAGGCCTCTGAGTGCCTGCCTGGTGCTTAAGGGAGCTCATGGGAGAGTCAGGCACTCCTCCAGTTCCAGCCTGAGTTACACTCTCCCGATGCTGGAATTCTCTGCATTTCCCTACTGTCTCTCAGCCCTCCCCATGCAGCTACCACACCTTTCTAAAGCACACATATGTGGATCTCTCGCTCTAAAATCCCTTGGATTAGCACTCCAACACGTACAGGCTGAAACGCAAATCCCCGGCCTGGCGCCCAGAGCCCTCCTCTGCCCCTCCTTCGATTGCCTGCTCTTCCCTCCGTTTCTCCGCCTCTACCCTCAGAGTCAGCTTTTAGATGCTCCAGACCCATCTTGTAGCTGAGGAGCCCAGAGACATTTAGAGGACCGCCACTCTTCCTCCAAGAGACTACCCGCAGGCCCCTTTCTCCCCTAAAGAATGCTGCTATCCTTTGCCTCCCAAATGTCCATTAGCCACTCCCCCTCCCCCTGCACAGGGCACAGCTGCAGACTTCTATTGAGCTGCAGCTACTGAAGAGGCAGCCATGTCTTAGCTTGCTTATGGTGTACTGAAACGCTTCCACAACTGATTGGGACTCCTTAAGCCTCCTGGATGGATGAAGGCAGGCAGGGAACAAGGGGGAACAAGGAAGAGTTACTTTGTTAAAGAGCAGAAACCCCTTTGAGCTTTGTTTGAGACAGGCTTTTGTGCGGCTCTGACTGGCCTCCAAGCTGGTGGTGCAGCTGAGGATGGTCTTGAACTTCTGATCCTCCTACCCCCACCTCTTTTGTGCTTGGGTTATAGGTGTGTGCACTAAATGTCACAGTGATAGGTGCCTAGCATCAGCTGGGGGATGAGAACCATCCTCAGAGGGGTGGTGACAGGGAAGGCACCAGGGTTGGGGGCTTCCTCCAGCATCATGACTACAGGAACCTGGATTAAAGATACTCTGCAGCCAATCGGGAGCAAGCTTTTAGAAGCAAAATGGGAAATCCTGACCAAAATCAACTAACAAACAAATCCCCTGGATATCAACCTAAGAGTCCAGCATTCTATAGACTCCAATAACTCTACTTTAGAAATGACGTCCCTAAAAGCAGAAGTTAGAGAAGGCTGACAAGAGTTTACACAAACAGAAAGAATGGAGGTGGCCTGGAGACACTGGCCTCACCCACACATTGCCAATAGACCTGGAAAACTATTAGGGTTAAGCTCCCAAATAAAAGTGACCCCCCAAAAAAACTTGTTTAAGGCCATGTCTCACATTGCATCCAAAGCTGGCTCCAAACTCACAGCAATCCTCCTGCTTCTTCCTCCCGAGTGCCAGGATTACAGGCTTAGCCAATACACTCTGAAGAACAAAACCAGCCCGAGTGCTAAAAGGACAGGGTCTGGGTCCTTTCCATCGTGTCCTGAGTGCACATGGACCGCGCTGGGCACACAGCACAGGAACCTCCTGTCATGAACGTCTGAATGAACCAGTATCTGCAGGGAGAGTCTTGCCGATTGAGGAGCTCTTGTTGACTCAAGAAGAGTGGGGCGAGATGTTGTTTCCCCTTTGTACATACAAAATTATTCCAGCCCCAGTGAAACAGAATTATCCAAGGCCATTTGAGGCAGAGGTCTCCTCTACCTCAGCTGATATGCTGACTCCATAAATGTCATTATATTTCACATCTACAGTTTACTTCAGGACTTCTCGAGCCCCTCAAGGGGTAAGTTACAAAGTACAACCCAATTAGACACAACTGGACATGCAGAACACTTCCCTATTCTTAACATTTATATTTAATGTATGTAGTGTGTACATCACATCATATGTGTGGGGGTCGGAGGACAACTGTGGAAATTAATTCTCTCTCTACCAAGTGGGTCCCTGGAATGGAAGTAAGAGCGTCAGGCTTGGTGGCAAGTGCCCTTACCCACCGAGTCATCTCACGGCGCCACTTCCCTAGTTTTCAAGATGAACAACTGGCATTTGATTGATTGATTGTCTAGGTGCAAGAGCTCTGCCTGAGCCAGACACAGCCTGCAGCTCCCTTGTCCTATCTCCCATCCAGCAGAGACCAGGGGAGAAGTCAGGACCTGGAGGGTCAGATACACTGGGGTACATTACCTCAGCCCTACCCACATTTGAGGTTCCCTTTCTCATCCATTATGGATGGAGCTGGTGGGGCAGGGCTTCTGGGAATTAGCCTGAGTTTCTAGAAGATTCCCTTGATGATTCAGGGTCCAATTCACACCCCACCCTCCCCTAACCCTCTTCCTAGGCATCAGAATCCCCAGCATAGATGTCAGAGGCTATCTGATACTCAGACCCTTCTTGGTAGCTGCACCCTGAGGAACTCTCTTCTTACCTTGTTAACGGCTTGGGCATCTCCAGTGTGACTGAGCAGGTTCACCGCCTGCCAGGCAGAGCACTGCTCCTTCTCTGACTCATGAACTCCCCCACGGCTTCCTCCTCCTCCTGGCATTTTGCTTACCCACAGCTTTCACTTGCCCTCTCCCTTATGTTCAAACAACAACCCACCTTGCAAGACAGGCTCCAGAAGGCTCTAGCTCCTAAAAAGCTGTGGCTTGAGCAACTTGAATACCTTGAGGATGGAGAGGCAAGGGGTAGAGAAGGGTAGAGGGGTGGAGGTGAGGAGCTGAACTCCAGGTGGGCTAAGCCGAGGAGGATGCCAGATGACCCTGGAATGTCTGCTCTTCTAAGGCAGCAGGAAGGTCAGGTCCCTTTAAGGTATCATGGGAGGAGAAGAGACCCCCAGAGCACCAGGAGATGAGGGTGGGAGGGTATTGCCTGACGTTAAGCCACAGAAAGCCCATAAGATTTTGTAAGCCTCCCTCTTCCTGTATTTTACTCTTATCACTAAGGAGAGCATATAAAGATTATTTTCCCTGCATCACCATCTGTTTCTTCACTCCACCCCAGGGAGGGGACATTTCTTAGCTACTATGTCATATCCAACATCTTCATCTCCATGGAAGAAGTGTAACAAATATGTTCTAGGCTGGGAGAATATATAGATTTACCAGTGCTTGGCTTGATTAGAGGGTGAAGTATTCTCCTTTACTACAAAAAGCAAGTTATTGAAAAATACAGCTTCTTACTGGCTGTGTGTCCTGGCAAGTCATATACCAACTCTGGGCTACTTTATCTGGTTGTCAACAGTCTAAAACACATGGAAAAATGTAAACTTCCGTGGAGTTTCAGAAGCTGAGTTCTGACTGGAATATCAACAGAAATAAGGATGATATTGACTGCTTTACACATGGTGGATGTTAGGATTAGTGTGAGCAAATTCCCTTGTCCAGTTTTATGATAATAATAAGGGCTTAAAAGTGTCAATTGTGGAGACTACAGAGATGGCTCAGTGGTTAGGAGCAGGTACTGCTCTTGCAGAGGAACCTAGTTCATTTCTAGCACTCACATCCGGTGTGATTCCAGCTCCAGGGGACCTGAAGCCACTGGCCCCTGTAGGCACATGGCACCCATGCGCAATACCCCCCCCCACACCCATAATTATAAATAAACCTTGAAAAGTGTTAGCTATTATTTAATAATGACTGTACCTCTTCTTAATAGTGGCTATTTTCCAGGCTTCACAAAAGAGCAGTCAGGCCGTGTGGGAGTGAGTCACACCACACAGGCAGGCAGATTCCCATTAGCTGTGTCTCCCAAGGCCTTATCATTATACAAATGACAAGAACCTGTGGAGGTTCCCGGGTATTGATTTCAGCTGTGTCCCTTCCTCCCTTCCTGTTTCCTCCTCCTGGCACAGAGCAGACAGATTTCTTTCATCTGGGTGGCTGTTCAGAGATGGAAACAGAAGAACCAGAAGTGGGCAGCTATGCGCTGCTCTTGTCCTCAGCTCAGGAGTGGTCCTCGCTGAGAGTCAAAGGATTGAAGAATGCAGGATGTGCAGGGAAGGAAGACAAACCCCAGCCATGCATAACTAGCCAGCCATGGTGCCTCATACCTGTCACTCCAGCACACTGAGACTGGTATGTTTTCTTGGCGTGCGAGTGTGTGCGTGCGTGCGTGCGTGCGTGCGTGCGTGCGTGCGTGTGTGTGTGTGTGTGTGTGTGTGTGTGTGTGTGTGTGTGTGTGTGTGTAGGCCAGAGGTGGATGTCATGTGCCTTCTTCTATTGCCTTCCACTTATTTATCTTTTGAAACAAGATCTCTCGCTGAACTCAGAACTCATGACTTTGACTACACTAGCTGGCCAGCAAGTCCCTAGCACCCCCTGTCTCTGCCTCCCCAGCCCTGGGATTACAGGCATTTGCTGCCACTCAATTTTTTATGTGGGAATAAAACTGCTCCTAATGCTTGCAAAAAAAAAAAAAAAAAAAGAAAAGAAAAGAAAAAGAAAAAAAAAGCCCTCTGTAAGTCATCTCAGCCTTTTGTTTTTGCTTTAAGACAATTTAAGTTATAAAATACGGTTCAGACACAAAGGTACAATTTAACAAACAAAGGCATTATCTTTTTTATAATTTTTTTTTATTTTTAAGTTTAAATTTAGATTAGAAACATGGTTGGTTCACAAGTCAGTTCCAGGTCCCTCTCCCTTTCCCTCCCCTCCTCCCGTGCCCTCCCCCCAACTCCTCCATTATCCCCTCATTCCCCCAGGGAGGGTGAGGCCTTCCATGAGGGTGTCCATAGACTGTCATTTCATCCAGGGCAGGGCCTAGACCCTTCCCCCAAGAGTTCAGGGTGAGAGTTCATCTCACATTGTTGGATGGGAGTCCAAAGTCCATGTGTATCCTCGGGATGAATACTGATCTACTGCCCAAGGCTCAATAGATTACCTAGGCCTCCTCACTGACACCCACATTCAGGGGGTCTTGATCAGTCCCATGTTGGATTCTCAGGCATCAGCCTGGGATTCAAGAGTTAACCCTTGTCAGGTCAGCTGTTTCTGGGGTTAAACCAGTCCAGTCTTAACTCCTTTGGTCATCAGTCCTCCCTCTCTGTTACTGGCTTTCTTGAGTTCAGCTCAGTACTTAGCCATGGGAGTCTGCCTCTTCTTCCATCAGCCACTGAATGAAGTTTCTGTTTCCCAGACTCTCTGGCCATGGGATTATAGGCTGGCACTCCCCAGATCTATGTCTAAAATCCATACAGTTTTCATTATACACAACTATTAAGAGGTTATAGTCAGAAGAGGCATTTGTCCAGGTGACAGACATGCCCACTAGATCATCACATTGCAAGGACGGTGGAAAAGAGATAGGGCAAGGAGGGGAGAGCGGTAAAAAGCTTAGATTTCAATTAAGGGCTGCTAAGTCCCTTTCATCTCTTCAAGTATCACACAACGTGTACCAAATACAATCAGTAATTAAAAGCCATTTCTTCCCACGCCCACAGCCAAGTAACTGCTACACCAAGAGCCGTGGCCATTCCTCAGGTGAGAGGAAAGCTGCACACCCACGACCCCAACGGGCCTTTACTTCATCCCTAAAGAGCTGGCCAAGGTGTCCTGTGGCCAAAGGAAGATGAACACGGATTCAGAAGCTCAAAGAAATGCAGTTCTTTGTGCCCAATCAGAAATGAGTTGGTTTTTCACTAACAAAGGCATTATCTCTTAGCAACAAGAAAACACCCCAGACAAAACTCTTACTAAGGGGTCTCTTCCGTGTCCTTTCTCTCAGATGACCCTGACTCAGCACTTGGGGACTTGGGGTGGCTCCTTTCATGACAATCAGTTCCTTGATTTGTTTATGGTTGACCATCGTACAAGCCTGGGTTGGATTGTCCTCATTTTGACCTGTCTGTCAGAGAATATCATGACCCTTATCCTTTGAGATTTTTTCTTTCATTACAATGGAGTCTTGTAAGACTCACTGCGCTGTCTCATGCTTTGTTTTCTTGCTACGCAATGCTCTCGGTGTGACTGTACCAATGCTGGTTCAAGGACACTAGAGCTATTTACAATTATGATTCAAGAGGATTAGCCACAGGCTTTAGCAGATATTGACTTCGGAGTCTATTCGTATTATATCATGAACTTTTACCCATGTCAGCTAATCCTATTCTTTAAGATAGGGTGTCATTCTACAGACCAGGTTGACAAGGAAATCACTAGGTAGCCAAGGATAGCTGAAGTTTGTGATGACCCCTCCTGCCTCAGCCTTCCAAGTGCTAGGATTACAGGCTCTAGCTGCTACGCCTGACTCCAGCTAATGCTTTTTGGAAGATGCCGTTTCCATTAAACGGCAGGTATCCATAGATAGTTTTTTTTTTGCATTTTATTGTATTTCATTTTATTTTATAGAATGTCTATACCTGTAAGAATTCAATTTTTGTCATCTGTTTCATCCTACTCACCATTCTCAATTAACTGAGAACCCATGTCTCTTACCCCTTCTTTAGATAGTACCTACCACAGAACAAATGTTTAGTAAAAATTCATCAACAAATTCTTTTTTTTGTCTCTCGATCACCTGTTATTTTTTTTGCTATTTTTTTTCATTTTTTATTTTAATTTTAAATAGCTTGTTTTACATGTCAATCCCAGTTCCCTCTCCCTCCCTCCTCCCGCACTCCCCTCCCCCCCCACCCTCCCACCCTATTGCCAAATCCTTCCACATAGGGGATATCTAGAGTCTGTCATTTTACTCTGGGTAGGGTCCAGGCACTCGCCTAAGAGTCCAGGCTGAGAGAGCATCCCTCTTTGTGCTATAGGCATACGAAGACTGTTTGTATACCAGGGATAGACACTGATCCACAGCTCAGGGCCCCATAGGTTGCCCAGGCCTTCTCGCTGACACTCACATTTGGGGGGTCCAGATCAGTCCCATGCTGGCCTCCCCACTGTTGGTCTGGGGTCCAAGAGCTCTCCCCTGTTCAGATCAGCTGTCTCTGCTGGTTTTGCCAGCCCATTCTTTGCCAATTTGCTCATCACTCCTCTCTCTCTGTCACTGGGTTCCTTGGGTTCAGTTCAGTGATTAATTGTGTGTTTGCCTCTGCTTCCATCAGTCACAGGATGAAGGCTCCCGGATGGTTATAGGCATCAAGTTCATTATCAGGAATGGGCATTCAAGGTGGTCTCTCCACTATTGCTTAGCTTGCCAATTGGTGTTATCCCTTTAGATCACTCGAGGTCGCTCTGGTGCCTGATCTGTATTCGATCCTATGATTCCCTCTTCCCCCTATTCTACCCCCACTCCCTCAACTTCCTGTTCCCCCATGACCAACTCTCTTCCTCTTCACCCCTCTCTTCTTCCCAGGTCCCACTCCCCCCACCCCTCGCCGTGTTCCCCATCCATTAAGAGGATCTTGTCTCCATCCTCTTCTCTTGGGTACTATGCATATATGCATATCTTTTAGGTTCTTTCCTGTTTCCCAGACTCTCTATCAGTGGAAGTGCAGACTGGCACTATCCTGATCCATGTCTAAAATCCATATATGAGTGAGTACATACCATGTTTGTCTTTTTGCGACTGGGTTACCTCCCTCAGGATGGTTTCTTCCAGTGCTATCCATTTCCCTGCGAATTTCAAGATTCCATTGTTTTTTTCTGCTGAGTAATACTCCATTGTGTAAATGTACCACATTTTCTCTATCCACTCTTCAGTTGAGGGGCATCTAGGTTGCTTCCAGGTTCTGGCTATTACAAATAATGCTGCTATGAACATAGTGGAGCAGATGCCCTTGTTGTATGAACTTGCCTCATTTGGATATATGCCTAAGAGTGGAATTGCTGGGTCTAGTGGTATATTAATTCCCATTTTCCTGAGGAATCTCCATACTGATTTCCAAAGAGGCTGTATGAGTCGGCACTCCCACCAGCAGTGGAGGAGTGTTCCTCTCTCTCTACATCCTCTCCAGCATAAATTGTCTTCGGTGTTTTTGTTTTTAGCCATTCTGACAGGAGTAAGATGGTATCTCAGAGTTGTTTTGATTTGCATTTCCCTGATGGCTAAGGATGTTGAGCACTTTCTTAAGTGTCTCTTGGCCATTTTAGCCTCCTCTACTGAGAATTCTCTATTTAGCTCTGTACCCCACCTTTTAATTGGATCCTTTGGTGTTTTGGAGACTTGTTTCTTGAGTTCTTTGTAAATTTTGGAGATTAGCCCTCTGTCAGATGTAGGGTTAGTGAATATCTTTTCCCATTCTGTGGCCTGCCTTTTTGTCTTTTTGACTGTGTCCTTTGCCTTACAGAAGCTTTTTAGTTTCAGAAGGTCCCATTTGTTAATTGTCGATCTCAGTGCCTGTGCCACTGGTGTTATGTTTAGGAAGTGGTCTCCTGTACCAACTCGTTGAATAGTATCTCCCACTTTCTCTTCTAAAAGTTTCAGTGTGGCTGGATTTATGTTGAGATCTTTGATCCATTTGGACTAGATATAGGCACAGGCAACGGTTTGTTTTGTTTTGCTTTGCTTTTCCTGAAAATATCCCTGCATCCCTGGAATGAAGCCTACCTGATCATGGTGGAAGAGTTTTCTGATGTCTTCTTGGATCCAATTTGTAAGTATTTTATTGAGTATTTTTGCATCAGTGTTCATGAGGGATATTGGTCTGAAGTTCTCTTTCTTAGCTGTGTCTTTGTGTGGCTTGGGTATCAAGGTTATTGAAGCCTCGTAGAAAGAGTTTGGCAAAGACCCTTTTGCCTCTATTGCATAGGATACTTTGAGAAGAATTGGTACAAGCTGTTCTTTGAGTTTCTGGTAGAATTCTGCATTGAAGCTATCTGGCCCTGGGCTTTTTTGGTTGGGAGACTTTTGATGACTGCTTCTATTTCCTTGTGGTTATAGGTCTATTTAAATTGCTTATCTGTTCTTGATTTAATTTTGGCAAGTGATATCTATCCAGAAAATTGTTCATTTCCTTTAAATTTTCAAATTTTGTGGAGTACAGGTTTTTAAAGTATGACTTGATGATTCTCTGGATTTCCTCAGTGTCTGTTGTTATGTCCCCCTTTTCATTTCTGATTTTGTTAATTTGCATGTTCACACTCTCTAGTTTGGTATGTTTGGATAAAGGTTTGTCTATTTTGTTGAT